GCCACCTCTCCAGCCCATCTCCCCGCCAGATTGATGACCTCTTTACCTGCAGCCGTCTTCGCCACCAGTCACAGTGCACACCTCCCCGTTCCTCTGTGCCAAGCCCAGCCTACCTCAGGACCTTTGCGGGTGCTGTATACAGTTCTCTCTGCGTATGCTCTCAGTCTGCACTTGTCTGTGGCTCTTCCTTCATGGGGGCCTCCCTGGCCACCATCCAGGGGTGAGTAGCAAGCTCCTCTCTCTCTCATCTCTCCCCCTTGGCACTTACCTCCTGACAAGATTCTGGGTTATTTGCTCACGAGCACAGCGCTTGCACGTTCATTAGGGGACTCTGAACACGCTGCCACACAGCGCTTGCTCGGAGAAGACGTCTGTTGCTCTGGCTCTAGAAGGGCCTGAGGTTGCCCCTGGGTTGTTCTGGGGTGCATCATCTCAAGCCGGCGGTCAAGAGGGCCCACCGCGTCGCTGAGCCAGCCCTAGGCCTCACACAGATGTGGTCACTTGGCAGTAGGAGATGGAGTGAGAGCCTTGGCTGCAGGAGGGGCTCAGCCAAGCTGGTGTGTCTGTGTCAGTTTCGCCAGAATGGCAGAAAGCAGAGTGCTGTAGGTCATGGAAAGGTTTAACCCTAAACGGGGAGGGGGGGGGGAAGGGGGGAGAATCACTGTCCAGAAGCAAGCTGTTTGGGGACCTGTGTGTGTGTGTGTGTGTGTGTGTGTGTGCGTGCGTGCGTGCGTGCGTGCGTGTGTGTGTGTGGCGTGGAATCCAGAGCCTTGCCCATGTCCACTCTGATAACGAGGTGTACCCCAAGCTCTCCAAGGTGGGGTTCTAAGATACTTTGACTTTCGTGTGCGCCTCCTGATTCTAAAAGTTCTCTTCTGCCCCTCAGCTCTACGTGTCAGGGCCCTCCCTGAACTCTGTGGCTTAGTGTCGCACTCTCTGACCCCCACAAGTACAAACCCTGCATCCTGTGTGGTGGGAGACCCCGGCAGGAGGAACCGCAGTTCCAGGCAGTAGCCTGGGTTAACAAGTGAAGAACAGCCAACAGCCAACGGCTCCTCTCTGTGTGCAGACATGTGCACACACCATCTCACTGCCTCTCTACCAGAGCGTGTTTGCCTGTATCCTAATGACATTCACTCACTCATTTATTTACTTTCTTTTGAGACAGGGTTTCACTCTGAAACAGGCTGGCTCCAAACTCAAGGCCATCCTCCTGTCTCAGTCTCTTCATTACTGAGATTACAGGTTTATGAAACATACTCAGATTCTAGCAGAACTATTTATATGTATAATTTAGAACAATATCTCTATTCTTAAAAATTCCTCTAAAAATGTCCCCATCAACAGGCAGAGGCCAGCAGGTGGCACCCAGGGCTTTCTGAGCCATGGGTCATGCTGGAGCTGGGGGGAGGGGGAGGGGCTCCCCATCTCTGCTCTCAGCCCCTCCCCCATGGGCACCCAAGGATAGAGTAACAGGCTGATAAGCAAAGCCTGACTCTTATCAGCAACCCCAGGAGGTACTGGGAAGGCGGATGCCATCCCACCGCTGCCCGAGGTGACACCCAGAGCAGGGAGCTCTGGGCAGCTGTATCTAGACATCCAACCTGTTGCCTGGGGTCCTCACTCAGTGTTTACATGTCTGAGGAAAAACACCAGTGTGACTCAGCAGGCAGAGAGGGCCATGGGTGGGGTGGCACCCAGCTGGCTGTGGGTGAGGTGCAAGAGATGTGGTGGCGGCCTGAGCCTGAAGTCTTCTGAGGCTAGATTCAAGGTGCTTGGGCTAAATCCAGCCCAGTCACTCTGCAGCACTCTGGCAGCATCTAGACGCAACTGGATTTCTCTGCCTGGGCGACCCATCCAGCCCAGGGATGGTCAGTCTCCCACGGATGCCAGGATCTCGGTAGATGTCAGATGGGAACCCGGGGAGTCCTCGGCCTGAGTTCTGGAGACGTGAGGATGTCGCTAGCAGTGTGGCTGTGGGTGGCTGCAACCATGAGTCCCCTCTCGGGGAGACCTTGTCCCGTCCCCACCCCCACCCCCCACCCCCCACCCCCCGCTGACTGCTCAGTTCTTTCCTGGGGCTGGTAGGCTGAATGACTACCTCACATCAACTAAGGGTTAGCAAATCCTCCTTTCTGTTTAGGAACTTGGTAGCCAGTGTGTAAGAGAGATAACTACAGCTGGATCAATCACCAGAATGGCTGCTGGAGCTCCAGCCATCATGCCCAACCTCTAGAGTGGCAGGGCCAGGGATGGCCTGAACGCTGGCCCTTCCCGCTGGCCCCTGACGGCAGCAGGTCCGTGGGAGAGAAGTCTGCACACCTGATAAATGGGTGGATGGAGGAGAGGACAGCCAAGATGTCCCCTACCTGACACTCCTTGTCTCCACAGGCCAGAGGGCCACAACAGGGCCTTGTAGGCAGGCAGGAGCTGAAGCCTGGGTCAAATTACTGGCTCTGCCCCCAATCCACTCCTCTCAAGAGAGGGCTATCCATCACACTGCCTGGGAGGGGTCTCAATGAGGACCTGAGGCAGCTGGAAGAGAGCCTAGGGCAGCTGCTATCTCAACCCAGCACGATTGCCAGCCTGTGCCCTCAGGAACAAGGGAAATGGGTCCCCGAGGGCCGGTCTTAGTGCAGAGGGGAGCAGGTGGCTTGGACAGCTGGGCCCAGGAGCCCCAGAGGCCAGAGAGACCGTCTGGCTCCCTGCTCCCCTTGCCTGTCCATCAGCACACACCTCCTCCTTCCCCACAAAACTCGGGGTTATCTGTTCCTAGCCTGCTTCCTTCAGAGAAGTCCCCTTCCTCCTGGAATTCCAGAAGGCTCATGTGGCTTTCCTGACCCAAGCAGGGCCTGGTCTGAACCAATAGCTGGTCTAGAAGAGTGAATGCCTGCTCAGCCAAGGGGACTGGGTTGCAGGGCAGACCCCACCCAACCAGCTGAAGCTGATGCTAAGGGTCAGCTTAGCCTGTGCAGAGAGGAAACTGAGGCCCAAAAGGGACTAGGAACGTATACACGAGAGGGCAGACCGGGAGGGATTTCACCATACTGCGTCGCTCCCTTCCTCGGGGTTCTGGATTGCACCTGAGTACGGGGCACCCAGGAAGCAGGGGTAAGGAGAGCACCTAGGGCTAAAGGCTCCAAATTGAAGTCCCAAGACCTCCGAGCCTGCACACTCCCCTCCCTAGCCAGCGTCCTCAGGCTGTGGGAGGCCACTCCTGAGTCCTCTTAACTTGAGAATGACTAGAGGTAGCCCAGTGCTTGGATGAATTGGCCATACCAAGGCAAGAAGCCTGGACAGAGCAAGTAGGATCTTCCAGTGACTCATACATCTCAAGGCCTGGAAGTCTCACAACAGTGGGTACCCAGGGATGAGGGTCCCGCTGAATAGCATAGGTCCCCAGGGCGAGGGAGTGGTGCAGACTATGCAGCCGGCCATGCGGCAACTGGACCTTAGTAAAGCTTTGGGATCTGAGCAAACATGGCAGATGACACTCAACTGAATTATCTGTATATGATAGCGTTGGGGCTCAGCCCGACTTTTACCTGGCCAGCTGCCTGCCCACACTTAGGCTAGGAGACAGGAAGGGGCAGTGAGTGGACCACCCTGCAGAGAAGGCCCAGCCCAGGGTCTGGGGTCCTCCCCCTCCTTGTCCAGCCATCCATACCACCCACCCGCCTCAGCCTGATCTAGCTTCTTCATAAGTGACCCTAGCTCAAAGCTGTAGCTACATCTCTGCTCCAGATGCCATGGTCCTCACCTACTACACAGCACAGATGACACATATGGACCCTACTCATGTTATCTGGTACGCCTAGGGCTGGGGCATGTGCGCACACACGCATACCTGTGTTGCTTTGCAGACACTGAGCAAGTTTGCACTTGAGCTGAGCCGGTGTTCTTGTGATTGTGAAAGGGTCTCTACACACCTGTGTGTGGAGCTTTGTGTGTAACCCTGTGTGCATGTTCACGGGGAGTGAGCAAACGATGTATCCCTGTATGTCTGAGCGAACCTTTATGTGGAGGGTGAGCACACTGATGTGTAGGCAGTCTGTAAGCAAGCACTGGCGTGGGAGTGTGCCTGGCCCTCGGGCTGAATGGAATCTGTGCCGCCTCTGGGTCACACTGTGTACCAGGACTGTGCTGGCAGCTGGGAACACCGAGGAGGACAGAAATCCTGTCACTGGGAGATGGAGCAGTGAGAACCCCGTCCAGGGACGGTGTGGGCTCTCCTAACCAGGCCTTTCACCAGCAGCAATGGTGTCTCTGCAGCCTGCCTCCTGTACCTGGAAGCCTCCCATGGGGAAGTGTCCCACACCAAGAACAGCCATTATTGCCCTTATTGGTGGCAGCATGGCTGTGCTCCGGGCCCAAAGCAGCGCCTTTCAACTCTCCTACATTCGCCCTGTTTAGAGTCCTCCAGCCTAAGACTAAGGAGGGCATTTTCCAGGCCAAGGGGCCTTCCTGAGTGCCTGTCCCTGTAACTGCCACCAGCTGATAGAGACAGGAAGTATACTGGCTTCGAGTGGCCTTCCTGATAACCCTGGCAGTGCCCGCCACCCCTCCCCGGCCCCAAACTCTTATCAGTCACAGCGAATGTCAGCTGTGAGCCCCACATTGACCTTCTGACCCCTCAGTGTTTGCAAACTGACACTCGGAGGCTGGAGGCCTGCGATGAAAGCAAACCCGATCCTGACAGCCCAGCTGGGCCAGGGCCGCAGAAGCAGAAGGCACTTCTCAAAGTTACACTAAGAGGAAATTGGAATAGGATCCTGGCGGACCCAAGGGACAGTTCAAAACAGCAGCCCCAGGTACACTTCTAAAGGCTTGAGCATCAGAGTCAACAGTGACCCCTGCCCAGACCTGGGTGCACCTACCTTGTGGTGGCTGCGTACCTCCAGTTCAGACTACGGGGACATACGAGGTCGGGTTAGGTTTTGACGAACAGCTGTCAGACCCGGATACAGGACCACCATGGCCAGAGAAAACCTCAGACCGACTTTTCTTTAAAGAAAACAAGTTTTATTTTTATAATCAGAACATTCTAATAAAAATATTATTATAACATTACTCCCTCTGTCCTCCGGGCTTGAGTAGCAGGCACACCGCTGAGTGCCTTCACACTGGCTCCCTGAGGTAGGTGTGGAGGGACCCACTGCCCAGCCTGCGGGCAGCTCACGCTGCCAGGGATGCCCACTGTACCCCTCCCAGACGTGGGCTAGGCTTCTCCTCTGTGCAGTGCAGCCAGGCAATGCTCCCAGACTGGCACACAGGTTACAACAGGAGGTGGGTGGGTGGCGCAGAGCCTGCCTAGAGGGTGCAGGGCCAGGAAGAAGGTCTCAATGGCACAGCAACAGACACCTGAGAATTCGCCCTGACGAGCACCTCTGCAGGTGAGGCGGGCAGCATCAGACAGACAGGAACCCAGGGCCCTGCAGGGCTGTGGTCTGGTCATCATCCTGTGCCGGAGGGGGTAGCTCCAGGCATCCCATCAGTGACACAGTCACAGAGAAATACTGTCATTGTCTCCACAGGGGAACTATCGACCAAGGCCAGTCTCTAAGTAGAAAATGGGTTGAGGGTTCTTGGTGATGATGGTCTGGTCTTCATAGCAGAACAATCCCAAAAGGCTATGGCACAGTGCTTCGACTGAGGGGCAATGGGCGGGGTTCCCAAAGAGGAAGGTGGACGTCTGCAGCGTCACAAAGTAAGGCACCGGGCATGGAGTGGCTGCAGAGGTCCCCGAGAGTGTACCCTTACTTCTCGTCCTTCCTCAAGGCACAGCATGGCCTGGGCTGGGAAGCTGTCTGGAACCCTCGGCAGGCAGGCGGTGGCTGTGGCCCTAGGCAGGACACGCCTCACTGCATTCTGTCGGGCTGTAGCTGAGGTGCCTGGTACTGCACAAAGGTGGTACCTGCAGGCGCAGCGGCAGGCAAGGCTGGGGGCATGGCAGCTGGGTAGCCGTAGCCCACGAAGCTGGTGGCTGTGGCAGGCGAGGCGGCGTACGGGTACTGGTCGTAGGCGGCTGGAGGGTACTGGGCATAGGCTGGGCTGCTTGGCGTATACTCAAGGTAGGGCGAGGACAGTGACGGGACAGGCGTGGCGGGTATCACCACGCTGGGCTGCACAATGGCTGGCGGATAGATGTAGTGGGGGGTCAGCCTGTGGGCCAAGCAGAGTGTCAAGGACTGTAGGCACAAAGGGACAGGATGGCGGCAGTGTGGGGAGACCTGTACCCTGCCCTACTCTGCAACCCCGTCCACAAAAGAGCTGCAGCAACATCATGCCAGGTGTCCCCGACACCAGGGCCTTTGCTTGGGCACCGCCATCCATCCACAGGCCACTTAACGCCTATTCTCACAGAACCCTCCTCTGACTAGGAGCCCCTCCACACATCTCCCACAGAACCCACTGTACACGGTATAAGCATGTGGCCTTCGTTTAAACTGAAAGCCTCAAGGAGAGAGGGCAGCTGGCAGAGCTCAAGGCCCATGGAAACCCTTGGAGCCGAGCAGCTCACCTGCCAGGTACCCACCCCTCCCAGGGACACCATGCTCCTTAGCTACCCCACCTCCAGGCAGCAGGGCTGCAGGTACACCCGCTGCTGGCACAGCAGCAGACCCCACAGCTCCAACACTCCTGAACCTGCCTCAGCAGGGCCCAGGGCCATCTCCCGCACTGTCCTCCAGCCTGGGCCAACCCTTCTGAAACCAGACCTGACAGAGAGTGCTGCTGGAGGCTGAGAATGCTATGCTCTGAACTTCCCTCAACAACTCCCCAAGGGGTGGCATCTGCTAACACTGAGGCAAAGCCACCGTACAGTTCCGTGCGAGGACACATGCTTACAACAGGGACTGCTTTCCCGCTCTGCCAAACCACTGCCCAATCCTCAGGGTCACCCACGTCTCTGCCTATTCACCTGAACTTCCCTTGAGGACTCTGCCAGGGTCTACTGTGGTGCCTGACACCACGCCCATCCTATGCTGCACTCCACTGGAGACCACACTTGTAAACAATCGCTCGTGGACACATGGATAGAGAGGAACGCAGCTAACAACCTAAACACCTGGGGCAATTCCTGGAACACAGAATTACCCAGCTTCAAAAGCCACATGCACCACAGTGGAGAGCCAAGCTCACTGTAGGGATGCGTGACTCCACGCGGGCCACTATCACAGGCAACCAGGCCAAACGCGGCAGCTGTGACAGGGAGGCTTGCACACCAGAGAACTGCCTGGCACGAAAGCCACCATCAACTTACACCCACCTGGGTCCTAGCCCTGTGCTGTCCACGGGCAGCCCTGGCCCCAGCTGCACATCGCTGCAGGCCCAGCTACACCTGCCTGCATCCTGGAAGGCCACGTGTGTCCAGAGACATCCCCAGTGCTGCTCAGACTCAAATGCCAGCCACCACCCAACCCTCCCCTGCCCGGCCTAGCGAGGGCCCACCCACCCGAAGCTCAGCTCTGCGATGCTGCTGACACTCGCCTCCGCTTCCTACCTCTCTGGGCCACCGGACTCCCCCGGCCCGGCCAGCTAAGTCCCTCACAGATCACTGGGAAATGCCTCCTTCAGACTTCAAGACCACGTCAACCCAGGGACCAGAACCCCCAGCACCTCCCACCTGGACGCAGAAGCAAATCCTGCTCCTATGCCTTTCTCCATGACAGCCCACACCTACCTCCCCCCTCATCTCTACCCTGGATTCCTGCTGTCCCTCAACTACACCCACCCAGGGTGTTGACATCTGGGGCATACAGCCTGGAGGTTTCTTCCCCCAGAGCCAGCCTGAGTCCCTCCTGCCTCTTTTCCTTCCCACATGAAAGCATCCTATCTTTTAATTCATATGTATATGCATGCACCTTCATGGCCCAGCCACGCGACAGCTCCCTCAGACACCAGAGGGTAGGACGGGACAGAAGGCACAACTCTGCTTGGCAAGTTCACAGCAGTCTGACCTGCCACCCTCAGTCCACCAACAGCTGCCTGCTTCAGTCCCAGAATGTCCCTTGGAATGACACACCACAGGCTGCTAGATGTCCACCCCTGTGAATCCCATTCGCTTGGCAGCATCAGGCCCAGGGGGAGGCTAAGTGAGCAGACCTTTCTCACCCAGTTTGTCCAGTTTCATGGTCTAAAACCTAAAGGTGGTGTGACCCCCTCTCCAGGGTGGCTCCGATTATCCCAGCCCAGAGTGCCCTGCCACTTTCTTAGGTTCAGCCCGACCCAGGCCTTGAATGAGAGCAGATGCCAATGTCTCCTCACACAGGGTTCCATTCCCTCACCCTTTTCAGGGAACCTTCTGCCCTTTCTCGGGCCAGGGTGGCCTGGGACAACTGACCCAATCCCTGTGTAGCAGTAGCAGAAGAGCTCCTAGGCCAGAGGCCACCAGAGTCTAAGTCCTTGAGTTTTGGGGACCTTCCTGCCAGGGAGGCCACGTGATACTGGGGACGATGACCCAGGCTCTCAGCTTCCCACTGGTACTTGGTCTTGGGTAACACCGAGCTACCAGGCCACCATAGGCTGAAGGGAAGTGTCCAGGGTGGGCTGCTGTGTGTGCTGCCCAGGGCTGACAGCAGAGTCTGAAGGGTGGGGCCTCGAGGACACTGGGAAGAGAGCTGGCCTCTGCCCCCAAGTCCAGAGTCGGGGCAACAAATAAACAGCCAGGAACACTCTGCTGACTTGGCCTAGGTTCCAAACCTCATTCATTGCCTGTTTGAGCTTTCCCTGGCCTCAGTTTCCCCACTGGTGAACTAAGAATGCCACAGGCACTTTCCCTGGTCTCCTGGCTGTCCCCAGAAGAGACATGGTCTCTCCCCACCCTGAGCACAGCTACCACGGCTGGCTGAAGGTAGGCAGCGCCAGTAGAGGCTCAGCCCCCTCGTGTGAAGCCCAACTCTCAGAGAAATCACTGGCCACAGCCCATTTCCCGAACATGAAGCCACCACTGAAAATAAAAATGAAAAAGGCAAATGAGCCCATTTCGCTTTTTCTTCCTCCCCGGGGGCCTTACGCCTCGGTGCTGAAGGCGACCTGGCAGCTTACCAGCAGCCCCAGCCCAGGGGTGGGGTGGTGGCTCATTTATAGCAGTTGGGCAGGCCTCCTGGGAATCCTGTGTGGGGGACACCAGGTTCTCTGGGGTTCACGGACAGTTGGGTGAGTGTTGGGGGGGTGGATGTAGGCAGGGAGAAGACACACCACTGTGAGAGAGGCAGCTGGAAACAGCAGGCCCACCCACATGGACCTGCCCAGATCCTACCTGTTAGCTGCACTCAAAGTCATACATCATGATGGCCTCTCCCTCCAAGGTCCAGTCCATCTACTGCCCACTCTGGAATCCTAGCCCTTCTTCCTGGGGCTAGCGATCCAAATGATTCTATTGTCTCAAGCTGGATGGCCGCTGTCAAGGGGAGGCCTTCTGGCTCAACCCAGTGGTAGAGGGATGCCCTCAAAACAAAGCTGAATCCCAGCACATGGGCAGCAGGGGCTGCTGTGGAGCCCGGGAGTAGAGAGTACCTAGTACGCATAAGGCTGGGCTCAAGTCCCAGGTCCAGGGAATGCAGAGGCAGGGAACTGGCAGTTGTTTTTAGGTCACATCCGCTGAGCAATAGGACCCTCCTATCTTAAAGGAAAGTGATGCTGCGTGACATTGATCCTGGCACTTAAGAGGCCTAAGGAGGCTCCCTGCTGGTTCGAGACCAGCCTGAGTTACATGGCAAAGCCTTATTTCAGAAAAAAGAACCCCCACACTGCTGGGCCCTGGCCTCTGCTCCCGTATCACCCCAGTCCCTGTCCTTCCCAGCTCTTGTCATCCTGCGTGGTCTGTTTCCCCTTGCTGCAAGCCTCACACCAGTTGAGCTAGGGCCCCTGGCCTGGTAACACAGAGGGAGGATCAGAATCACTGTAGATTCCCTGCCTGCTCCTGGGGGGGGGGGGGACAACACACGACACTGAGCCTAAAGGAGGGTTGGGGCGAGTAAGCCGGCCACTGCTGCAGGGATCAAGGGGCCAATGGGCCACCTGGTGGACCTCCAAGCCATGGACACACCTTTGGGGCTAACTGAGCCTCTACAGACCCTTTCTGGAGACTGAGCCATGGACCCTCAGCCTCAGGCTTCAGAAACTGTCCCTCAGGCACCTGGCAATAACCGACCTCTGAGAGGAAGCTCAGAGCACGGAGGCCAGCTTCTGTCACAGCAGGCAGGAGCAAACAACAGGTGCCCCAGCAGGCTGCAGCCCTCCGGGAGGTCACACAAGACACAGCCCACGCCTGCCTCCAGACAGGCTGCCAAACAGGAAGTGATTGTGGGGAAGCCAGTAGGGCCACCCCCAAGACAACCCACAGGTGGTGGTTGAGCACTGCTCACACCGCTGCTCTGGGCCTGGCTCCGTGCCGCACCCCTAGCCAGGCCTCCTAAACCAGAGCGCGTCACACACCTGCCCCTACTGCAACCACATGCTGGCCTCACCTTTCACTGCCCTCAGGGACAATCCCCGCCCCCAACATCCCCTTACTAGGTGTACTGTATGCAGGAAACGTCGGCTGGCAGGCAGTGCTGGCTGGCAGGGCACTATGCGGGCGCAGGCACTATGGCACTCACAGTGTGGGGCCCTGTGGGGCAGCTGTTTACACTCAACAGCATGTGGTTCAACTAGCCAGTCAAGATCAATACACACAGAAGGCCCCGGGCAGACCCTGGGTAACTGGGCACTGGGCACTGGGCTGGGGATATCTCTGTCACTCAGCTTCTGTCAACAGTCTGCCATTCAAACTCTCCCCACTCCCCTCCCCACCCACCTCTCCGCAGTCCACGGGCCTGGTGACATGGTGTCAGGACTGACATTTCCATGCGGGTGGGTACCAGGTCCATCCCACAGAGAAGTCTCTATAATGACAACTATGGGAAAGCCCGTGCCAGGGATACGATTCCCGATTGTCGTTGACATCAGGGACCTGAGCACATTCATTCAAACGCTGTCACATGAGCAGAGAGGTGCTGGGAAGGGAGGGATGGGCCTCAGTGGCCCTTGGTAGAGGGCAGGCCAGCAGTCTATGTGGCCCTAAGCTTAGGTTGGCACAGCTTCCTGCTGGGCCTGTTGTGCGATCATCCAGGACAAATCCCAAGGCTTTCCATGGCCTTGGGGTCAACATGTTCCATAGACCATGCTCAGTCAGTCCTTAACGTGGCCGTCACCACTAATACTATACGGAGGTGCAGCCCAATGCCCAGAAGCCTCGGGACCCTGGTCTGACTTCAGCCCCTAGGGCCTGGCTCTATTTTGGGGAGAAAGGATCAGACTATCTAGGCATCTTGCCATAGCAAGAGTCCCCTTAGAACAGAGAGAGCAGCCTGCTGGAGTAACAGACCCTTCAAATATAGCTCAGGAGAGGTTCCAAGGACTGCCAGGCCAGAGACAAAGCTCAGCTCTCCATGAGCTTTAGGCTGAATGTGAACAAATACCCTTGACCCTGGAGGCCCTGACAAGCCAGAGCAATACATAACCAGGGTAGGGTAATCACCAACTATTCAGCCCTCCCCTCCCACCTGCACCACTGTGCCCCAGGGCTGGCAGAGACCCCCTTGATAGAAGGCCCAGGGTCACATCCCCACCAGGGATTAACACATAGGCCTGAGGCTGGCAAAAGCCATTGCGATGGCTGAGTAAGGCTTTACCAGATACCAAGCTTTGTCCTGCAGATACAGTTACATGATGGACAGGCACAGGCTGTACAGCCAACAAGGCTGAACAGGCCCAGTCAACAAGCAGGCATGAGGCAAGCGGATGGGGATCCAGGCAAACAGCAAAGCCTGTTCTCTCCATCTCTGTAAGCTAATGGGTAGTTCTAACCAGAAAAGTGAGGGCCCCACAGAGGTTTGGCCTATAGGTGGGTTGTTGGGGTCTTCAGAATGTCAAGTGCCTGGGAGGCCTAGGAAAAAGTACAGCCAGGCAGGCGCCTGCAAGCTATGAGCTGCCAGGGTTCCAGCTCCCACCAGGCCTTCAGCCAGGGCGGTCCAAGGCTGACTGACAAAACCAACCGCTGAGTCAGGCCCAGCCACGCAGGCCTGATTGTTTGCAAAAACAAAGGGGGCTGCTGACACCCCAACTATTGCCTCCCAGCTGTGAGGGCAGGGCGCTGACAGCAATGACCCAGGCAGCAAGGTCTGGCCACACCGCTACCATACCCAGAATCTAGTAAGGGCAGGAGACAGGATGGTCTTCAAAGGAGCCCGAGGACCAGTGGCAATGTTGGCAGTCCCTCTGCACATCTGTCCTTTTGGGTCTACACTCCTTGGCAACCTATAAACATCATGAAGCCACTCTGTAGCCACAGTGTTAGATGACCAGTCCACTAATCTAGTTACACATCACTGTGACCCAATGTCGCATGCACCCTTGAGTATCAGGGCTCTCGGAATAGGCCCACCCTCAAAGACAGCAAGTGTGGCGCTGAGTATACAGGTTCAAACCTCACCCCTGGGTAAGTCACTAACCATCTATGAGGACAGGAAGAGGTTCTTATCCAGGAGATTAGAGCCTGCTGTCCTTAAGTAGTGGTGTCCCCATTTTCCAGATGAGAAAAGGCGACTAAAGAGGGGATAGTTGGAGAGTAATAGACAGGCTGTGAACCTAGCTCTGAGGGCCCCAGAGGCTAAGTGATTGCAAGGCAGTTATTATGTGTCACAGCCAGTGGGGAGGCCCTGGCCCACTGTAAGCAACAGCCTGTGTGAGCATCTCAGCCCAGCCCAGCCTGAAACCCAGCCCCAGGAGCACAGCGAACTACCAGAGAGTATAGGTGTGCCCCTCACACAGCCAGCAGGGAAGAGGCTACCAGAAGATATCAAGGCTGGGATGTTCCCAAACTCCTTCCAGACAACCTAGAGCACATGGGCAACAGATCCCAGGCCAAAAAGGTCCCCTGGCACTATATGCCACAGTAGCACCGCAAGTGCATCCCTGCAGGATGGTGACACTAGGCAGGAAACGCCAGCTGGGGTCCCACCAATCCCCAAGGACAGTGTGGAGAATCCCAGTGCTGCGACACGGGATAAGCACACGCTTAGAGGGAGCAAGCAGCACCCTTTCCAGCCATCTGACCCACCATGCTGGCCAAGCTCCGCTCCAGCCCTGACAGACACCCCACTCTGCCCCACCCACCTGGCAGTCAGGATTTGGCAAGCTCACCATTGCAAAGGGGTGTGTGTGCGTGTGTGTCAGAGTTCCCATCCACCTGGCCCATTCACAGCCAGTCTACACTGGATAAACAGGTGATTGTGGCCAAACCAAATGGCAGGGTCTAACTTTCGCTTTCCCGACGTGTGTGAGTCCTTCCCTAAGCAGCTGCCGGGCCCATGACTTTTTAGAATGGAAGGAGGTGGGGCACAGAGCAAGTGACTCGCGCAAAAAGCCAACTGGTGACAGTCACCTACTACGCCATTCAGACATCAAACCTCACCTGGTCCAGACCCACGGTGAGCTATTTTCATGGCACTGGCCCACATCAGAGAGAACCCCGGGAGGAGCCCAGCCCACCAGGTCCAGCCTTAGCACACGCGGGAGGACTACCTGAACAGGGCGTGGAGTGAAGCCCCCTCTCAGAGTCATAACAGCTGTCCCCACACTCAACGTACAGATGGGTAAAAAGGCCACTGACACCTGACCCAGGAGGTGTCACATAAGCAGGGGCAAGGTTTGCAGCAGGTTTGAAGGCATGTGCCCCCTCTGAGTCGGAGAAAGGCAGTTGGTCTTATCTGTTACTCCACACTTCCAAAACACAACCCAGTCTCTGAAAACTGACCCTCCCCAGCCTTTCAGAGCTGAGAGCCAGAAGCCCACAACTGCCCCACCTCAAGGCCCTCCCGCCACACCAGCTATATGCACTCACCCATAGGTGCGCTGGATGAAAGTGGGGTGTAGCTGCTGCACACCAACAGCAAAGCCTAAAACAAGAGGACAGTTAGGAGCAGCCTAGTACAGGTAAGGTCCTAGGGCCGCACACAGGAAGGCAGGATCAGACAACGCCACACTCCCACTCAGGCAGTCACTTCCCTCTCCCATCACAGCCACCACCTCTGTCCCTGCCAGTGAACCCTGAAATCACCCAGTCAAAGCACAGACACCCACAGGTGGCAGCAGCGTCTCTGGGTGACTCCTAATCTCCAGTCGCTGGTGTCAGCAACTGACTTCTTCCCTCCCCAGGAGTATGGCAGACACTTGAGAACCGGTATCCCTGGGACCATACACTGCTAAGAGAGATGATCAAGCTCCCAAGCTAGGGGTGGCTGCCCTAGGCTGTCCCTACAGGCACATGATGGCTGGCCGCCACTCTGGGACAACCGGGGAGCGGGGGCAGTGTATTCCACCAGACAGATAACAAGGCTGAATATAGAAACGAGAAGGGCTGGGAAGAAAGTTCTCACCAGTCTGCAGGCTCCTAGGCTTGGCACCCAGGTAGGCCAGGTTCACATTTGCCTTCCGGCCATCGATGATAGGGTTAGGGTCTTTGCAAGCCCTATCAGCTGCTGCTCGATCGGCCATGGTCACCTGCGGAAACAGAGGGTCAGGGACTTCGGTGGCTGGCACAGAGGGGGAGGCGGCCCTGCTCTGCCTGGCATCAGGCCTCCCTGGCCTTTCCTCCCAGGAGCATGAGGGCATCTGGGTACTCAAGACCCCTGGGCTGTCTTCTCTGCCGCCAGGATTGCAGCTCCTTCCCCTAAGTTCAAGTGCTGGGAGATCGAGCCTTCAAGGACAGCGACAGTCCCCTGGGAGATGGAGCAAAGGGAACCCCTATAAGGGAGCGTGTCCCCCACCCCCCCGCCGGCCAGGCTGTTCTGCGCAGCAGTAAGTACCGTTAACTTTCTCAGAGGAGAAGTTTGGGGACACTAGAGTGGAAGGAAGTGGGAAACCGTCTTCAAGTCTCTGGTGCTAAAGCTGACGCTTATTTGGTGAGGCTGGAAAGCGTGGGGGAAGGGCCGGCGGCCCCGGGAAGCCCCGGAGTCCCGGCTGCGCGCGGCGGGTCTGGGAGGCGGTGGGGGAGGGGCGGCGGCAGGTGCGCGCGCCGCGGGCACTCACGAAGCCGTAGCCGCGGGACTTGCCGGTCTGGCGGTCGGTGATGACCACGGCCTCCTCGATGTCTCCGAAGCCCTCGAAGTACTTTCGGAGCGATGCGTCGGTGGTGTGGTAGGGCAGGCCGCCCACGAAGATCTTGGTGAACGTGGTGTCCTTCTGCGAGCCGTGCATGGCGCTGGGGGCGGCGGGCGGCCGCGGGAACACGCTCGGGGCGCACGCGGGCTGCAGCAGCATCGGGGCCGCCGCTACCGAGCCGGCCGGCGCATGCGGGGGCGTCGCAGGCCGAATCCGAGTCCCCCACGCCGTCCCGCGACGCTTCTCGGTCCACCGCGACGCGCCTACTCGGAGCTCCGCGGGCTGCCGGCCGCCTTTGTAGCCGGCCACGCCCAGCAGGCACGCCCCCTTGTCTCAGACACGCCCCCCGATAGCGGGGGGCGCCGGGAAATGTAGTTCTAGACACGCCCCACGTGTGCCTGGACGTGGGGCCCGGAGTCGTCTTGGCTCCTGCGTGTTCGCGGGTTATCCACTGGTCTCGCCTGGCGTAGGGGCCGCTAGAGTTTATACGCTGCTTGAGTCGGTGGGTTACGCCAAAGCGACTAGAGGTGAACCGTACTTGTTTGTTAAAAGGTCCTAAGGAGTGGCTCAGCTGGCCGTGTGCGAAATCTCGCGTTTGGTCTCAGCATCACCTAAACCCGGCTGATGGCACACACCTGTAAACCCAGCACTTAGGAAGGGTTGAAAGGAGGATCAGAACTTACCTGTGTCGTAAGTTAGAGGCCAGCTGGGCTAAATGAGACCCTGTTTCAGTAAAACCAAATGCAAAGTGCATTTTGCCGTGTATATAGAGATAATTCGCATCACAAATACTTTTGGGGACTTGGGGCATCCCCAAAACTTTATGCTTCAGTAGAAGCATACCCCTGGGTTTCTGTGGAAATGAGGCCTTATATATCCGACAGTGAATATGTCTTTTACAGCCTGATGGAGGCTAAGAGCCATGGGGGCGGACAGAGGTGACTGGGCTCCTTTGTCACTAGTATGAGGACTCTTGTGGGACCACCCTTAGCAGGAAAACAAGCAGAGAGCCTAACATGCCATGTGTAGAACAGGATGCCAGCAGAACTCTTCTGTCCCAGGGCAAATGCAAACGTGGTCCCCCCTTGTTGAAGAGACATGAACCACAGTGTGATGGCATGCTGATTCTAATACTCAGGAATATCAGCGTGGTGGCGCACTGATTATAATACTCAGGAATTGAGAGGGTTACAGGTCCAATCCCTGCTATGCAGAAGCCAGCCTGTAAGACACAAAGCCGCGTCTAAAAAGGAAATTAGGAGTTTCGGCACAGAAGCAGACGCGGCTGAGCCAGGAAGCAGCCCTCATCCAGCGTCTCCCATTTCATCTCTGGCTATCACATTGGGACCTGTAGACCTGAAACTTTTAGTGGGGTTACAACTGGCCCAACCAGTGACCTAGGGGACAGTGAGGCTGGTAGCCTCCTGGTAGGCTCAACCCTACCCTGTGCTTACATAGTCAGCTTCTTGCCAGTGACCTAGGCGCCTTCCGCACAGAGCAGAATCCCATGCCCACAAAGCCTGCTGGGATATGCATTCCACGCAATTCCTTTGCTGTTGGTTTACTTTTCCCCAAACACTACCTAACAGGGCGTCCTCTGGATCTAAGGGTCTCCTGGCGCTGCAGAGTGAGCTCCCTGACAACAGGGATCCTGCAGGCTTTCCTCCAGCTGTAGAGCTTGGCAAGGGAGACCTGCCTTCAGGAATGTTTGTTGAGTGAATCCAAGGACGGATGTAAAGAGGGCTCCCGACCAAACACCCGTTGGTTCAAGTGTGTTCTTGAGTTATCCCTAGAGGGCCGAGACTGCCTGGCCCTGAAGTCTAGAGCCACCTGGGTACCGTCCTGGGGCCTCAGTTTCCCCTGGGTGGCACACTGCTGCCGGTGACCAGGACCGTTGGCTTCCGGGCTTGCGGCCTACAAGTCCCAGCGCCGCCCCTGCCACCGCCCCGCCCCGCCCCGCCCCTCCGCTTCCCAAGGGCGGCCCCAAGAAGAGCTCTGGGCGGACGCCGCAGGCACGTGCAGCTGCCTGGGCGGGAGGAGGGGGGAGGGGATCACAGAACATGCGAGAGCGGGGCGCGGGCGTGACCCCCGGGAGCTGGCGGAGCCTCCCACTCTGAAACTCTGGCGGTTGCAGGACGGTCCCTGCACCCCGCCCCTCCCGGCTCTTGGGGGTTTGCTTCTGCATCACCTGCCCTTGCACCTGTTCAGCGGCTCCCCGTCCCGCGTGCCACTACCCTCCTCGCGTCGATTTGCCTTGCTCTGAACACTTATGTGCCCTAACGGCTGCGACTCTGGGCCAGAGAGGCCACGAGTGGGAAACAGACATCCGCAGGGGCGGCGGGTGAACGGGCCTGCGGAGTAGGCGTCTCCTTAGGCACAGTTTGCTCAGGTGGGCACTGAGTAGGGGACAAAGTGGGCAGTAAGGACCGAGTACGGCCAGCGGCACCACGCAGTGAGCAGGGAACGGTGGGGTGCGAAGGCCCAGAAGTGACAGCGGCAGCTACTGTCAATTGATGAAGCCTCCCCTCCCTGCCGCCTCTAGCACAGGGTTTCATTATGTGGCCCCTGATTTTTTATCCTCCAGCCTCAGCCTCCCAAGTCCTGGGATTACAAGCATTGCACCTCCATGCTTGGCTTAGGGGTGTGTTTGCCTCACACATCACTAATCATGAAGCTCATTTGGCCTTTGTGGCGCCTGTTCCGGCCTTCACTGGGGATTCCCCTAGATTAGGTGATTTAACTAAGAAGCAGCCATTTGTAGGCTCTGCACCATTATCCATAAGCCTGGTTTTCAGCCGGAGTGGACCTGAGGCTCCTGAGCCAAACCAGCTCCACGACCCTATCTAACCCCCAGTCCCCACTTTGAGGGCTGGGAAGGTGGGAACTTCCCAGTGTTGCACTTCCCGTGGTCCAGGACCACATGGCCAGACTAGGCAGACTCAGAATTAAACCTCAGGAGCAGGGCAACCCCCTTGACACCCCATCCTCTAGGCTGGAGTGGGGTGCTGTTTGCCATAGCTCAGCTAGTCTGTAGCCTAGCTAACCAACCATCAGTCGATTAGGGTTTGTCTAAACCTGTGTGTGGATTGGCCAGCAGCACCTGGCAAGGAGAGACTGGGGACTGAGCAAGACTTCAGGCTTGGACTGTCCCATCACCCAGCTGGCAAGGCCAATTGTCAGCCTTGATGGGGTAGACACAGACAGGCTGCCCAGCGGCCCTTGAGAAGGACGAGGGGCGGGGCTGGGGCTGGCCAGTCCTCAGTAACCCTCCTGCCACCAGGGATAAATATAACTCACACGGTCGGCTCTGGAGGCAGAGCCCTTGGCACAAGCCTGAAGTAGCTATCAGAGCTTACCAGCCTGAGACGCCATCATCCCTGCATTTGTGGAGGATCCCCGGTTCAGTAGGGAAACCCTGCCCCAGGAGCCAGCAAAGGCCAGGTAAGTGCCAGAGACCCAGCGAGGGGACCCCGTGACCAGGGACCACACTGCAAGGAAGTGAGAGGCAGCATCTTGGAGCAAGCCAGTTTTCTGAAGACCTTTCTGGACCCAGGGGGTCAGGAAGTGACTTTGGGAGTTAAGGTGCTTGTGTCCAAAAGCCCAGAGACCAGAGTTCAATCCCCAGAACCCAGGTAAAGGTGGAAGGAGAGAGCTGACGCCACAAAGTTGTTGTCTGACCTGCGCAACAATTGGCATGCACAAGCAAACATCGCACACGGGCGCACACGCAAGCATGCATGCACACACTGCCACCCCCCCACCCAGACAAAAAAACAGTACAAGCAAACAGAAACCCCTTAGTCACCGCAGTAGGGACAGCTGAATGTGGATCTCTGCAGCTCTTCAGGCACCTCGGGTGGGTGTGGCGTCAGACACAATGGCAGTGGACTGGAAACCTATTGTGAAAGCCTGGCGCTCTGGAGCCCTGGGCTGACAATCTTCTCTCTCCCACTGTAACAAGAGAGTGAAAAAATGTCCTTGCTTTTCCACCCGCCGTGTCCCCATCTGAGCTAGGGGCCTCTGTGCAGCTTTCCCCGTCCTGACTACCGAGATCAAGTACTAGGCAACACTAGACCTAGGCAATCATTTTTTTCCCCCATATTTTTTGTTAAGGCAGGCTCTCATGTAGCCCAGGCTATCCTCAGCTTTGCTATGTAGCCAAGGATGACCTTGAACTCCCCATCCTCTTACTGATCCCTGGGATTGCAGAAGTGTCACAGTAGTCTTGATTTACAGGGTACTGGGGAGCAGGCCCTACTCTGCAGGAAGGCAGCATTCTGTCACCTGAGCTGTCCCTCAATCCCAACCTTAGCATTCTTTTTGTCCTGAGTATGTGTGAGATGTCTGGAAGACGTCTTGTGGCCATGAGGCGAAGTCCAAGAGACTCGCGATAGCACTGATATAACCAAGCAGAGAGGGCACGCGGTGACGCCTGGAGGCGCCATTCATAGCCACAGCTTGCTGGGGCTGGGAGTGGGATAGGGTATGCTGCTCACCTGAGGTGGAGGCCCCCAGGGAGGCTGGCCCGGTTCCTGCTCTTCCCCCACACCTCAGCCGCTGTGGCGCATGGGCTGGGGTCAGCCTGGACTTTGGTCTCAGCCACATTTCTTGTGCTCTCAAGTCTTGAGGTTGTTTTTGTTGTTGTTTGTTTTTGTTTTTTTTTTTTTCTTCCCAAAACAAGGTTTCTCTGTTTGCTCTGGCTGTCCTGGAACTCACTCTGTAGACCAGGCTGGCATCGAACTCAGGGACCCTCCTGCCTCTGCCTCCTGAGTGCTGGGATTAAAGGTGTGCCCTGCTCCAGCCCAGCTTTTGTTGCTGTGCTGCATGGGGGCAGCAGTGGCATCTTCTGGGCTGGCTTGGCGTAAAGTGCATACATAAGTGTGGCGATCTGAGTGATGAATGGCGGCTGCAGGATCAAAGCTCAGTTCTCTTCTCCCCAGAGGACAGTGATCTAGACTCGAGGGAGCTCTACATGTGGCAGTGGAAAAGGTCACAAGTCAGAACAGCCCTAGCTGCACAATGCCTGCCCCAACCTCAGCCAAACTGGGTGGACAGAGTCCTGGAGGAAAACAGCAAGCTAGCATCTAACAGAGGGTGCCTGGGAGGTTCAGAGCTGGGAGGCAGAGCCTGACCCCATCTACCCCTCCCATCCCCTCAGGCAGTAGCAGGGAACCCTTCTGCTGGCCTGTTTCTCTGCTCTGATGGGCAGGGCACCAGGGACTTCCTTTCAGGGCTTTTGGGGATGGGTTAGGGTTGCTCCCTGAGAGCACCCAACTTGTCCACATCTGCATAGGAGCACCAATCCACTGATGCATATTC